CCAGAGTCGGAGAAATCCACTTGTTTGATGTTCAGAAAAAGGTTTGTGGTGTTGGAGGTCATTTTGAATTGACGATGTTTATATCCAGCACAAAGTGAAGCATTGGAGTCAGAACTGGTCATGTATGAGATGCAGCTGGCATTAAGTCTGTCGGCCAGTTTGAACCAGAATATGTGAGTCATAAAAGTGCTCATGTTGGAGCACAGCAGTGTGGCCTCTTCACCAGGCTGGACCTCCATGGTGTGAAACTCTGACACAGACACAGAGACCCAACCTGAAACAAACACACAGAGAGTCCATATTTAGCGAGAACCAATAAATAACTTGAACTAATGTCATAGGTGACAATCGTGTATCAGTTCTATTGGAGTACTGCAGACAGAGCTGTGAAGATCTAAAAGAAAAAATGATGTGTTCATACTCACCGAAGGTGCAGATTAAAGCCAGCATGACTATGAAGCTCATCTTAGTGCGCACAGCAGGTCTCTGTCAGTGTAATGTTAGAAAGTGAACTGTGCACCAGTTCTTTAGGGTAACTGTACGGAGGCGGGCTGTTTCTCGACCCGACCGCTCACACTGACAGAGAAAATGATTTCCAGATAACAAGTCCAGACTACTGAAGAATACATTATCATTTTTCTTAAATGATTACATTTAATTAAGGGTTTGTTGAACTTCACTTTTATAGATTGCATATATAAATGTTATCTTTTAACAGAGACGAGGAGGGGTTCAATAAATCTAACCAGGTGAATGGAACAAAGTAGGTCGCACAAAGTTGTTTCTTTTTTTTTTACTTAACGTACCAGTTTCTCAGATACTCTGAGGCTCGCAGTATAGTGATGGAGAGTATGAAGCAGGAAATGAAGCGGCGGCTTCGACTAAAATGCCACATGAAGAAAAAATGGGTTCCAAATGGTTTAACTTAAAACATTTCAACTTCTACACCAGATACAAGTTCGTTATGGTGGCGTCCTCAGCAGAGAGTCCATGATCTTTAACAGAGGAAGAGATCATCAGGACGTTCTGTGTGCTGTTCTGCAAAAACTGGCTCTCCGCCTCCAACAGGGCCCAGCTGGAACAGAAAAACCAGAGGCTTGACTCGTGTCCCGGATGTTGACGGCTCACAGCTGATGTGGCAGCACCGCCTTTGAGCAATGAAAGAGAGAGCCCGGAAACGCACGACAGGGACAGGAAGGAGGCGTTTACTATCAGACAGACGCCAGAGCGTCAAGCAGCTTCTGTCAGCTCAGGTCACACACTCAGCTCTGTCGACAGACCTCCGCAAGGGCAACGGCATGCCCTGCATTGCTAAGAAAAGACGCAAAAAAAACCCAGCTGCAGATGTGATTTGTGCAGGCAGGTGCACATGGTCCCGAAAAACCTGGAGGGCCTGGTTGCATGAGCCACTCCAATTAGCCCAGGACAGCCATCTGGCCCAGAAGTTGGTTTGAGGTGCACATGTCTTTGAATAAGTCAACATGCTCTGTAATAAGTGCTAGAAAGATTATCTATGTGTGCATAAACCATGGACACAAGGTCCTGGAAAGATCTGTGCAGCACAGCATCACCATTCACTCAAAAATATTTTAAACCTTAGTACTATGCCCATGTAAAGAGAGATACATCAGGTTGTGACATTACACAGAATATTGGTCGTAGTTTAGAAGTGATCTGTGTGATAGATCTGGTGTAAAAATGACACAGACCCACTCTTTGTGTGTCCCTGAGACCGATTGAAAGACGTTTATTTGTACATTTTCAGAGTTTAACAATGACAGACGGGACTGGCGCTCTTTGAGGAAGACGTGTGATCTTTTTTGGGTCTGTGCTTCACTGGTCTTGTGTGTTCGGCTTTAGAGACCTCATGATTGTCATCTGAGGTGAGCTCAGACCACACGGGGCTGCCTCTTCCTGTGTGTCTAAACCCACCCGCAGCGGACCACTCGACTCTCTTCCTGAGAAAGTCTTCTGCTGAGACCCGAGCTAAGAGGCAGACAAGATATGAGCAATCTTAACACGGAGACAAATAGATTATCTCTTCCTTTGGTTACTTTTAGACAGAGAAATGGAAGGAATTGAATGTGAAGAAGCCTGCGCTCCTCTGTAAGCTGCAGCTCCAGCGGTTTGCTGAGTCTATCTGGTGGCAGCGTACACGACATGCGGGTCTGGTTGTCTCCTTAACGCAGGCCGGGACCTCCGATTTGCTTCGGCCTGGAAATTTAGAGCCGAGTAGTTCAGATCTGAAGCCGTAATCTGAAAGTCAATAAAAAGATGCGGAAATTTGGTTGAAATTCATTCCTGAAAACGAACATTTTCAGAATTGTGATCAAAGGTTAATTACTTTTGAAATTTTGAAATGATCGAGCCAGGTATGTAAAATAAAGACTATGTTTCAAACAGTCTCAGAGAAAAGAAAAAACCTGCAATAATGGAACACTGGCAACTGACAGAGCAGTTTAGGCTGAGTTTTTCAGACTCATCATAGGTTCTTGATCATTTTTTGCAAAAATATTTTTACACCAATGACATTTCAGGTTTTACAGACATAGTAAAGATAACACATAAGTACCTTCATTCATAGAGCCCAGCTTTTATAATATCTTTTTAATAAAAAAAACCCACAACGATCAAGTTATCAAATATTAAAAAAATGAAAATGAGCGCAAATTGAAGGTAAATTGTTACAGTTCACTCTAGATTAGATCATATTTGAATGTTTAACACTAAATCATATGCAGTTGTAGAAAAATGGGGAAAAAATGCTTTACCTCCAGCTCCGTTACCGACTGTCCGTCATGCAGAGCTAAAAGTTAAGAGTTAAATTAAAAAGAGTGTCAGGTTCATTATTTCTGTTACTTGTTGATTCATCCATATTCTGACAGAAATAAGTGTGTTAGCAGCAGTCGGCCGTACCCTTCTGAAGTCTCCTGATTCTTACAGCCAGAACAATGACCACAACAGTCAGGAAAACACTCAGAGCTCCCAGGATCACACTCATCAGGTTTGTGACTCCATCAGCTTTTTCGGCTAAATTTTTACACAAAAAACATTTAAATATGGCAGCTTTATGTTTGAAATTCAGCGGAGAAAAACAAAAAAAAAACTTACTGCCATTGTTTGAATGCCCTTCTTCAGTGGATTCGTTATTTCCTGTGAATAAATTAGTGCAATGCAATTAAAGGTTTTTTCATATGTGGGTCATAACAGTTTGACTTTAGCAGATCACATAGTGAAAAAATAAGATAAAGTAATAGCAGGATGTGAACAAATTAAGGTAAAAAATTCTCATATGATCCAAGTCTTACCTTTGACGATTAATTCTGTTGCACAGAAGAGAACTGTGTTTTTCTTTTTGTAGACTCCACAGAAATACAGCCCAGAATCAGAGAAATCCACTCCTTTGATTTGTAGAAAGACAGTACTCACGTTGGATCTCATATTAAATTTTCCACTTTGAAATCCATCACAGAATGAAGCCTCATAGTGGGTATAGAACATAGAAGAGATACAGCTGGGCTGAGCTCCTTTGGTCACTCTGAACCAGTCTATGAATGCTAAAGATTCAGAGATGTTGGAGCACATCAGAGTGACGTCTTCCCCCAACCGGACCTCCAGAGTCTGGGACGCACAGCTCCAGCCTGAAACAAAGAGCAGAGAGAAGGTCACATGCTGAATATTCACCATTCAGGTGACTTCATGTGGCCATGCTTACTGAGTCTGCAGAGAGACAAAGCTGTGAACAGGACTAAGCTCCTCATTGTGTGGTTCAGAGTGGCTCTGTTTGCTGATCTCTGCTCTTATAAAGTGGTCCAGAGGGGCGGGGTGTTTTTTTTTCTTCTTTATGTCATTAAGCACAGTGACGTACCGATGGAACAGAGTTTTCGCGCCGTGGTTGGAAACTAATTGAACTGCCTCACATGAAACTTTGTACAGACAATACTGGTGTGCATGAATATAAACATGCATCGTATGTATAAGCTGGTGGTAACAATGTTCTTCAGCTGTCTTCAGACTATTTCTGATCTCCATCTGAACATTCTCCTGAGATATATGTGAATTTACTGTAAATCCTAACTATAAGGTTAAAAAATGAATGAATAAGGTTGAATGAGACAGGAACATTTTAATTTACGCAGGAAAAATTGCACACAGTGCAGCTGCATTGTTGTTACCAGATGTTAGTCTGTCAGAGGCCTCAAAACAAACTTTTAAATGTGAATGGCAGCACCCCCCTGTCAGGCATGTGGTTCCTGGCTTTTCATGATAGGTTTGACGCTAGCAGAGCTGTGATCGGTTGCGCCATAGTGAGAAATCTCACTTGGTTTTCAGAGAGCTGAGATTACACTGGTAACCTTATTTGTGATTGTGGAGGGACATTGGGTCCTGGGTTCAGGTCCGGTGCTGAAAACCAAAAAATTCCCAGCTTTCTGGTGTCCACCCTAGTCAGCTCGCTTGGAACCAACACTTAATGAAAATGTGATAAACCGAATCAAGTTTGACCTGAGCCACACTGAGTAGGTACTAGTTTAAAACTCTGATATCTAAAAACCATTACACCTGTCTCAGATGTAGAGGACAAGATCAGTACCCCATACACTGATTTCTACTTAGAACAGAAGAAGTGATCCGTGATTAGATATAATTTCCAAAGTTTAAAAAAAAAAACTGTGAATAACTGCTTACTGACAATGGCTTAAGTTCACCAGTGAAGAGGCAGATTGATGAGGGTAAGCTATGTTTCAAACCAACCCCACAGCAAACATGAATCCCACGCACAAGCACACAGTTACGCAAACACAAAGGTACAACATTGCACAGCATACTGGAGGTGCCACAAGAAGGGCCCCCAGACCACCACCACTGGAAACTCTCAGCTGCAAGCTTTTGTTCTCTGTTGCACTAACCGTGTTGCTGGCTTACAGGGTGAGCCCCAAAAGAAGACCGTTTGTCAGCAGGAGACATTTTACGCCACATCCATGTTGAGTCTACTGAGTCTGAAAAACATTGATCGCACAATCACCATGAGTCGGGTGAGATTTTATGGGTTTTTACTGATGGAATCATTTGTCATACACATGGGAATCAGGTCAGAGCATCATCAATCACCATAACTGAAACAGGAAACAGAGTATGTCATGATTTAACTAAATCTGATGTTACAGTGTCATCAGCTATCTGTAGCTCCACAGACTCGACTGCTTGTCACAAATATTATTGACCGTCCATTCAAAACGTCTCGTGGATGTGGACGTTACAAAATTCTGTTTCTAAATGTCTTCCTGTATTGTTTTATCTCTGTGTGAGCAGTCGGGTCGCTGAGAGAACAGCCCGCCTCCTTTTAGTGGGTACTGTGACTGGTGCACAGTTCACTTACTGACATTAGACTGACGGAGTCCTGCTGTGCGCACAAAGATGAGCTTCACAGTGATTCTGGCTTTAATCTGCACTTTCAGTAAGTACACCTATAGATATACATATATAATCCACGTTTTCTGAACAGCACAGAAATACACTTTATTTGGGTTCTTGTTGAATTTGAATTATCTGCATTCATCATCTATGTCGTTATTTCAGGTTGGGTGTCTGTGTCGGTGTCAGAGTTTCACACCGTGGAGGTCCAGCCTGGTGAAGAGGTCACACTGCTGTGCTCCAACTTTAGTAGGTGGGTCAGGCACATATTTTGGTTCAAAATGGCCATCGAACCCAAGGCCAGCTGCATCTCATCCATGAGCTATTCTGACTCCAATGCTTCACTTTGTGATGGATATGAAAACGGTCAATTCACAATGACCTCCAACACTACAAACCTTTTTCTGAACATCAAACAAGTGGATTTCTCCGACTCTGGACTTTATTTCTGTGGATACAAAAAAGATGGACACCCAGTCATTTTCAGTGCGACACATTTACAGGTTCAAGGTAAGATGTAAGTCATTGATATTGTAGTGACTGTGTAATTACTCCAAAATAACACTGTTATGTACAATCTGTGACAGTCTCTCCTGTAGATGCATGTAACGGGTTGACAAATCAGCTGATCATCACCCTGGGAGGTGGAATTATTTTTCTTGTAATAGCCATCATCTGTCTGGTTGTCAGAATCAGGATACTTCATGCAGGTAAGTTCTCATTTCAGTTGAAACCTTTTTAAAAATAACAAAGTCTGAACTTCAAAATGAGTAACTGACTGGATGAAATGTTTTTGTCTTTCAGCTCAAACTGATGAACAGAATCCACAAAATGCAGAGGTAATCACACTTTAATTATTTATATTTTGTTTATTAATCACATGTATTAAGTTTTTCAATTATGACTTACTACTTTCATTTACAGACATCCTCTGATGTACTGAACTATACAGCAGTGAATTTCTGTCAAGAATCCAGAGGGAACAGAAGATCAGCAGATGACAGAGAGCTGGAGACTCATGTGGTGTATGCTGCCACCAGACACTCACATCAATAGAAGAATACAGAGTACATCTGACAGTTGGGTTTGATACATTAGCCTTGATTGCAGCGCCAATAAACCAAAACTTTTATCTGACTATGAATTCTTTGTTCATTGATTTTCTGTGTGAACATAACAAGATGTAATTAAATCAATTCAACAAATTTTTTATTTTATTTTATTGTGGTAGTGCCGCTAAAGTAAGGGTATACTAATGGGCATTCCACATTTTTCCAGCTGAGAACCATGGCCCCAGAGTCGGCCTTCTTCCTGGCATTTACACACTCAGCTGCAAACTGTTCTGAAGTTTGTTTTAGGTGTCAGCCAAAAGAAGCCAACAGGACAAAATCATCTGCAAAGAACTGTGATGTAACACTAAACAAAACAAAAAAATCCCTGTTAGCCCCTTGGAACCTGTCAGCCTTCTCAAAAGACCTATCAACAAGCCCAAAATGTCTATCCAGTCATGCTTGGGAGTATCCCCATACCCGCATAACACCTATGTCCAGAGTATGAGAGAGTCTAAACCCCACCCAAGGAGCTTAGCTCATGTTGTGTGTGGAGATGAGCCCAACTATATCTAACTGGCGTCGGCCCATCTCAAATCAGCTTCCCAAAGGATATGTTTTTCAATTGCCACTCTAGTTTAGTTGGTGGCTGCAATGGACCAATTCGTTTTTTGCCATACACACCTTCATGTTAAAAAGACAAAGAAGAGGCCTTAGCCCTCTAAGGATCTCAAATTATGCCTTGGGCAAGCCCGTCAATAGCGCTTGTCAGAAAACAATAGATCCTTCCTCAATTATTAGGTAGATTCACACCACGTCTCACAGAGGACCGACTTACCTGCAGATGAAGTGCACACTGAGCATAGTTGAAGTCCTAAAAGGTCTATATCAAGTCACCACTAAAACTCTTTCCAAACCTGTTCTCAGAGAGACTCAATCAGGAGTATCTACTCATGGATACTCTTCAGGTGTCAGACTTACCTGCCCATATTGTAAAGATGTTCCTCCACCTGTTGCCTTACCCATGTGCCCCCTTGCAGGAAAAACAATTAATACTAAACTCATCACCTAACCAATAAATTGTTAAACTGTTTGAATCCTAATTGTCTACAGTCTGCTTCTTGGAACCACCTATCGGATAGTGTAGGTATGTGAGTGGGAATGTATGGTGCAGCTGGATATGAAGAAATGTGTTGGGAAACTCAGACCTGAATGGACCTGTAAACTCAAACCACATAGGAGTAATAGGAGTTTTTGGACGGTGGGAGGAAGCCGGAGAACCTGGAGAGAACCCACACAGACACAGGAAAAACATGCAAACTCCACACAGAAAGGTCCTGGTTCCCCCAGGTATAGAACCCAGGACCTTCTTTGCTGTGATGGTGCTAACCACCACACCACCATGCCACCCAAAGAGTAATATAAGTATGTTTATTTTCTATAATACATCAGGAAAATTGAGCAGTAGCTTCTTTACTGCAGACTTGGGAGTCTTGGGACCAATCCCGAAGGGTAAAATGTGACTAGGCTGTGATATGTCCTGGGATAATCCTGAATCGTGAAATCTAACGGATTGACTCTTGATCCAACAGAATTGTCATTAATCCAGGCCAGGATCATACCCAGGATGGCAGATTACTTAGAAGCATGCTGCAGACAGGGTGATCCAATGGACACACAAGGGTTCCAAACCAGAATGACCATAATAAAACTTGGCCCTACGAAGGCAAAACAAAACTTGCGGTCATGCAGAAACTTGGCTTGGTACTTGCAATAGGTGCTGGAACTCTGTGGCGATGCGATTAAACGATCTGGCACAGGAAATGATACAAAAGAGGCTCTAGATACACAGGCGAGGGGTATGAGGGCAGCTGGGAGGCATTATTGAAACCATGACAGAGGGTTTCGAAAACACGATCTAAACTATACATTTTCTTTTCTTCTGTGAAAGAGTGGACCTAAAAGTCAGACTACAGTGTTGTTTGTTTCCTTTAATTGACGTGTCACCTCTTTATTCCCCCCTTGTACCATACTTCCACTTTGTCTGTACTGCTATCCGAATCCTCACAGGCTCCGCCTCCATCACACACCAACCACATCGTTATGTACAGAGAGAAAGACAAACTTTTAATCAACACAGAATTCTGTATCTTTTTTTTATTCTTCTTGAAATTCAGCCACATACACAAAAGCCAAAAATGATAAGTTTTACAAACATTTGTTTTCCGTCTTTGTGATTATCTTGTGGCAGCATACACCACGTGTGTCGCCAGCTCTTTGTCTTCCACCATTCTTTTTTTCCTTTTTGATCTGAGATGGAAACTCACTGCTGTATAGTTCAGGGAATCTGACGATGTCTATAAATGGCAGAAGTTACAGTTGCTTGTTAATAAAATTTAATATTAGATTTGCAGACGAAACATAATGACATCGGATTGTGATTACCTCGGCATTTTGCGGATTCTGTTCAGCAGTTTGAGCTGAATGACAAAAACATTTCGTCTGATCAGTTATTAATTTCAGAGTATAGATTACGTAATTTTCTAAATCTCCAACTAAAACAAAAAATTACCTTTAGGAAATATCCTGATTCTGGCAACCACACAGATGACAACTATGATAATTAAAATCATTCCACCTCCCAGGATGACGATCAGCTGATTTGTTAACCCATTACACACATCTAGAGGAGAGACTGTCACAGTTTTTACACTGCAGGGTTAGTTTTCAGTACATACACAGTCACTACAATATCAATGACTTACATCTTACCTTGAACCTCTAAAGACGTCGCACTGAAAATGACTGAGTGTCCATCTCTGTAAAATCCACAGAAATACAGTCCAGAGTCGGAGAAATCCACTTGTTTGATGTTCAGAAAAAGGTT